CCAAGTTGTTAATGTATTATCTTTTTCATTTACAGACGACATCTATTGCGTGTCCGTCCATCCAGCCCTGACCAATTTGCTGCCCTAGGCAAGATTTTAGCTGAAGCCCCCCCCAAATGCAGACACTGCATGCATATGTAGTGGCATGACCACCAAAACAGAAAGATATGGACACAAGATGTGTGCAAATGTATTTAGTGTCCTATCCATTTGTACATGATTTAAGTGGGGGGTGGACCTAACCTCCTCTTGGGGGATCAGGGGGGATGCTCCCCCGGGAAGATTTAGTTTTTTAATATTGAAGTTAAAAGCATCAATCTGGTGCACTTTGAGAGCAACATTAAGAGATATATGGATACATCTCTCAACACCAGATGAAACAGAACTGGAAGCAGATTTTCTTTTTATTTATGGATTTTTTACCAATCACTCTCCTTTCAAACTGTATTCTTGTTTATTAATAACAACTTTTTTTTACTGTCATATAGTATTTTATACTATAAGAGAATAGATGAAAATCTATTCTCTTATTTTTGTATAACTATAATGATCACCACAGGGAGGCGTGTGGTGCAGTGGGTAGTGAGTTGGTGTTCGGATCAGGGGGTCACAGGTTCAAACCCCACTGCAGTCAGCATGTCGTTGTGTCCCTGAGACACTTCACCCCAAATTGCTCCTGTGTTTGCCCACAGTATTGAGTATGTAAGTCGCTTTGGATAAAAGCGTCTAACAAGTGACATGTAATTAAATGTAATATAAAGGTGTGCCTTTACCTCACTGAGCTGAGGTTATCAGAGCCGCTCAGTCTTTCAGGAGAGAGCTCTCTAAAGCTCTCCCCCCGCGGCCGCTTACACAGTCAATTCCAATGTTAATAAAAGCTGTATACGTTTTTTGGGAGTTTGATTCATTTTAAATGAACACAAATACAAAATTAAAACCTATAATTGCAAACTAAAACCATTATTTCAAAAAAACTTTGTTGATCCAAAATCAGGAAATTGTGTTATGAAATAAAAAAGGACATGTTTTGCACTTAGAAGTTCACATGAGTGTGTTCACATTAAGTTAGAAGAGAAGCCTCATTACATTGTTTTGTTTTCAGGTAACCCATCCTGTTCCTTCAATAGATGAAGGCTGAAGACAAAAGGATGAGTGACACTTTGCTTGATCTCCATAACGCAGAGAAGGAAGACTGCGCATCCATGCTTAACAAACGTCTAACTACTTTGTGTTGCATGTACCAGTCAGTGATGCTAATGTAACGCGAAGGCAAGTTAATTTATTATTTATATGTTGAACTTAGAGTATAATGCCTTGTTTATCAGTAAGGATGGCAATGTAAGAGATGATAATGTGACAGTCTGTAATATGAAGAAAAGAAAAAAAGGCTGACTAAAGCTGACGTTTGGAGTTAGTGACAATGTATTCTAGTGAGCTAGCTTAACGATTTATTAAATAATATCGCGCTGAAGTAACTTTGACTCATTCACTGCACATCCTCAGACGGAGTGTCCAGAATATGCTCTGCCACTTTTTCTGCATTTTCAGCCAAGTTCAGCAACAGATGTGCGCAGCTGACAGCATGCACACCTTTAAATATACAGTCTATGATTCACACGCATTTTCAGCAGGAGTCCAGGTACAGATTAAACAACAAAGGAGATAAAATCCCACCTTGCTTGACCCCATTACCAACATAAAAATGTTCAGACACAGTATTGCCCCACTTCACCTGCATAGTCTGATGTGCATACCAAAAAGCTAAGATCCTTATTATGTACTTGGGTACCCCTCTCTGGCACATTTTGTCAAATAATTTGTAATGATTCAGTCGATCAAATGCCTTGGAAGCATCAATAAAACACAGAAACATGGTGGAATTATGGCTTCTATATTTTGCTATAATGTCTTTTAAAGCGAAAATACACATATCTGTGCCGTGTTTTCTTTTAAAACCGAACTGGTTGTCAGCTGTGGTAATTTACCTTTCCAGCCTATCCAACAGAATTTTCTCCAACACTTTGGAGAGAATGCTAGATAAAGCAATGGGTCTGTAATTATCAATGCCATTCATCTTCCCAGCTTTATCCTTGATGACTGGCACAAGTAGCACAGATAACATGGAATCTGGTAAGACACCACAGTCTATGATTCAAACGCATTTTCAGCAGGAAATGCATTTTCTAGTTATTTTTCAAATTGGTTTACTTTGACCTTTTTTAGATAATGAAAGAAAACGATTGAGGGCAGCCGTTTGTGACGAGACAAAACACATAAAATACAAAATGCATTTTTCTTAAATGACTTTATTTATATATAAAAAATGCAATCTATAAAATAAGAACATGACGCTAAATGAAACATTGAGATCACATTAAGACTACAGGCGACGCATACAAACAATAAACTGGATGTTTTTTCAAATAAATGTCATAAATCAGAAAAACAATCAATAAAAAACACAGAAATCCCTTTTTGGATGATCTATCGACTGACAGCCATGTTGCTTTATATTTGTTTTATATTAAAATTACTGAATTCTTGCGGCGAAACTGGAACAGCCTAGCCAGATTGTTTATTATTATTTTATCCTCTGTACGGTATGATGAAGAATGCCAAAAGTGCCATAATGTACTCAAATTTAAACGAATTAAGTCCGCATAACAATGACTTCGATCTCTCTGAAACGTGTAAAGAAGGTTATCAAAAACAAATGAAGATGTGGAAAAAGGGAGGAGGGATGTGAACTATTTTTTTTTTAAAGAAATGTCATCATAGTCCTTTAATTTCCCTCTGAGTCTCCAACAGAAAGCACACACACACACAGAGGCTAACACAGATCAATAATGAACGGATCACATTCTTCTCAGTGTTTGTGTTCCAGCACAGTGATTATAGATTTATGTGTTTATGTACAAATTCATATTTACAGGAAAAATACATTTGGGAAGAAACTCCATATTTTGGGCAGGAAGAGCGAGTTAATGCCGTTTGCAACATAGAAAATACACAATGTTAAGACATAAAAAGGAAAGATTCACTCATATAAAAACATTTGTATGCACACTGAGTTTTTTTTTAATTAAAGTTATCCTATCATCCATCCTTACTATGGCATTTGTCACTTGATTGACAGGTAAGCCAGTCTGAGTTGTATTGTGCCATACAGGTTCATGCAGTTATGAGGGGGCCTCACCTCCTCATCGTGAAGCGCAAATGCGGCGCACTATTATGCGCTTATGCGGCGCAATTAGTGTAAGCGTGCCACAGTTTATCCGCCGTTTACTCCACTAGCACCCCCCCCCCCCTTACGGCAGGGGGGGGCGGCCCTGTAGGTAGATATTTTGGGCTTGGTCATTTTAAAAGTAGCTCCCAAGCTGAAAAGGTGAGGGCACCCCTGCTGTATAGTATGTGTATTCACTCTCTGTCCTAAACGGCTTGTTGGAGCTCCTCCCCCCCCCTCCCTATGAGCCCACTGTGCTCTGATTGGTCAGCTCACCCACTCTGTTCTGATGAGTCCACCACCGTTACAGCTGAACATCAGTGATTATGTGTTACAATGGCGTTTGTTAGCAACCAGGAAATGACACCAGTAATAACAAACAGATGAGAATGCTGCGTGGGGTCTGGGTGCCGTGTTGGCGGGACGTTGCGCGGCTCGCTGCTGTGAGGAGCGGACAGTGTGAGCTCTATTACTGGTGTTGTTTCCTGGTTGCTGCGTGGGGTCTGCGAGACAGCGAGACATCGCAAAATTCAGCCTGAGCACCATGGACGCGGGAAGGGGGGGTGCTGAGGGGGCTGTAGCACCCCATCTGCGAGGCTCCACTAGCACCCGCACCCCCAAACGCGGCGCACCTACAGTTTCAGCGCGCCACAGTTTCGCCACTGAGAGAGTGTGTGTGAGGAGCTCCACATTTTTAATTAGCATCTCATAATTTCTATTTATTTTACCACAGGTCATACAATTTACTGTTCAGTATAAACCTACTGAAATAAAATCATGACCAAATGTTCAGTTTTTTGCATTTTTAAATCTGAATTTCAGAGATTAAAAGGCACTTTATACGACATTCAAAGCACTGGTTACCCTTACACAGTATTAAGGAAAGTACACTAAGGTAGCAAGACAATGTACGTCTTGGCTATTATTTCATTGTTTGGTATAGCTTTACATTATTTCAATAATGTAACGTTTACACCTTAAAGAGCTATTCCTTCAATCTGCGTGACTTAAATCCATGTAACCTGATTATTAGCCTGCTCGCTGTCCTGCTGAAAACACCAAGTGAAATATACTTTTACAATGTGTGGGAGGTCACTTTCTTAAAGGTCCCCTAGTATACTGTTTTTCATCAACATATCACAGGTCTCAGATATATACAGAACCAGTCTCTGATTGGCTGAAACACCAAACAGATCATTGCAGCATTACCCATAATCCCCTCTGTTTCAGCCCTGTTTCCAAAGTGCTGATTCTCTGTCTGTTACTTCAGATGAAAATAAGGAGCCCCTCCCCACGCCCCTCTGAGAGAGATTTGGTTACAAAGAACTCAATGGTGCTCTAGAGGAGATTCAGGTGATAAGGTGTGTGTGTGGGGGGGGGGGGGGTTAACTTGGTTGGTGATTGGCTAATGGTTACACAAGACAAAACATCGTTATGACATCATAAAGTGACCAAAATCTGATCAGCTCATTTTCAGACAGGTTTTTATAGAAATGGATCAAAAAGAGAGAGAATCTTTGTTCCTGAAACTTTCAGAGTCTCTTTCCACAGAGGGGACACATGTTGATGTAGAAGAGACATGAAGAAGAGGGGACACATGTTGATGTAGAAGAGACATGAAGAAGAGGGGACACATGTTGATGTAGAAGAGACATGAAGAAGAGGGGACACATGTTGATGTAGAAGAGACATGAAGAAGAGGGGACACATGTTGATGTAGAAGAGACATGAAGAAGAGGGGACACATGTTGATGTAGAAGAGACATGAAGAAGAGGATTTTGCATAATAGGGGACCTTTAATAGAACCACGCTGCGTCTTTACAAACTGTAACTGTAATCCATAGAATAATGGCCGACTTTCTACAAGGTAATCTTCTTCAATGTGTTTACTGTGGGACAGATCCTGATACTAAACTGATCTCCTCATCCTTCATATTTACCGTGGACTGATTTACGGTAGAAGGGAGAACGATCTGCAGGCTGTGATTGGTTGTTCCTTGTCACATGACAAGCGTTGCTGTGTTCTGCGGTGAAATATGTTCATATCAGGCCACAGAAGACGACAACGCTGCAAAAAACGCCACATGTTTCCCGGCCCTTAGACAGTATAATAGTGAGGATGGCCAACAGTATCACAAGCATGGAGCTCGGATTAAAACGCACACAGAGACTTCATTCTCTGGTCAGGTAGACGTTAAGTCGCTATACGTTTACACAACAATAGTTTGATTCCATGTTAACGCTCTGAATGCCGTATGTAGCACCTTTTTAAAACTCATGAACTAAAACACAAGCAAAGATTTGGTTATCCTGCCTTTTTTTAAATCTGAATTTCAGACTTTAAAAGTGATTTTCCGAGTGTTTTGCCCTACTTTTAGACACCTGGAGCCTGTCAACCAATCAGCTTTTAGTTTGTTTGTTATCAGCCAATCAGCTTCCAGTCAGGACAAGACAGTGGTTACCATGGGAACACTGTAGACTCACAGTGGTTGCCGTCGTGACATCACCTCTGTGTGTTGGTTTTGATGATTTCACGGGTTAAGATTCAGTGTTTTTGGCCAATGGCGTTACAGCGTGTGTGGTGATGTCATCAGAGGTCTTCCTCCATGCTGAAGCTGCTCCTCCTGCTGCTGCTTCTCGACGCTCCGCAGGAAAGCAGGGGGTCGGACATCACCCCCACGCCCCCCTCCTCCATCAGCAGGCCGTGCAGCTCCGTCAGCCCCACGTCGGACATCAGGTCCGGGGAGAAGACACCGGAGACTCCGTGAGGATCGTCCAGGTCCACGAAGCTGAGGGCGTCCAGACCGAGGGAAGGGGTCACCAGGGAGGAAGAGGAGGAAGAGGAGAAGGGCTGAGGCAGCGTGGGGGATAGCAGGGTCTGAGGGTCCAGAGAGGAAGAGGAGGAGGAAGAGTTCAGACCAGCCTGGAGCTCCAACTCCTAAAAACACCAAAACACAGAGTGGACTTTTATTCCAAAACAAAATCATATTTTCAGCTGTAAGAAGTAGAAAGTTCAGGTATTTGTGTTCAACATGTAAGAAGTAGAAAGTTCAGGTATTTGAGTTCAACATGTAAGAAGTAGAAAGTTCAGGTATTTGAGTTCAACATGTAAGAAGTAGAAAGTACAGGTATTTGTGTTCAACATGTAAGAAGTAGAAAGTACAGGTATTTGTGTTCAACATGTAAGAAGTAGAAAGTTCAGGTATTTGAGTTCAACATGTAAGAAGTAGAAAGTACAGGTATTTGTGTTCAACATGTAAGAAGTAGAAAGTACAGGTATTTGAGTTCAACATGTAAGAAGTAGAAAGTACAGGTATTTGTGTTCAACATGTAAGAAGTAGAAAGTACAGGTATTGAGTTCAACATGTAAGAAGTAGAAAGTACAGGTATTTGTATTCAACATGTAAGAAGTAGAAAGTACAGGTATTTGTGTTCAACATGTAAGAAGTAGAAAGTACAGGTATTTGTGTTCAACATGTAAGAAGTAGAAAGTACAGGTATTTGAGTTCAACATGTAAGAAGTAGAAAGTACAGGTATTTGTATTCAACATGTAAGAAGTAGAAAGTACAGGTATTTGAGTTCAACATGTAAGAAGTAGAAAGTACAGGTATTTGTGTTCAACATGTAAGAAGTAGAAAGTACAGGTATTTGTGTTCAACATGTAAGAAGTAGAAAGTACAGGTATTTGAGTTCAACATGTAAGAAGTAGAAAGTTCAGGTATTTGTGTTCAACATGTAAGAAGTAGAAAGTTCAGGTATTTGAGTTCAACATGTAAGAAGTAGAAAGTTCAGGTATTTGAGTTCAACATGTAAGAAGTAGAAAGTACAGGTATTTGTGTTCAACATGTAAGAAGTAGAAAGTACAGGTATTGTGTTCAACATGTAAGAAGTAGAAAGTTCAGGTATTTGAGTTCAACATGTAAGAAGTAGAAAGTACAGGTATTTGTGTTCAACATGTAAGAAGTAGAAAGTACAGGTATTTGAGTTCAACATGTAAGAAGTAGAAAGTACAGGTATTTGTGTTCAACATGTAAGAAGTAGAAAGTACAGGTATTTGAGTTCAACATGTAAGAAGTAGAAAGTACAGGTATTTGTATTCAACATGTAAGAAGTAGAAAGTACAGGTATTTGTGTTCAACATGTAAGAAGTAGAAAGTACAGGTATTTGTGTTCAACATGTAAGAAGTAGAAAGTACAGGTATTTGAGTTCAACATGTAAGAAGTAGAAAGTACAGGTATTTGTATTCAACATGTAAGAAGTAGAAAGTACAGGTATTTGAGTTCAACATGTAAGAAGTAGAAAGTACAGGTATTTGTGTTCAACATGTAAGAAGTAGAAAGTACAGGTATTTGTGTTCAACATGTAAGAAGTAGAAAGTACAGGTATTTGAGTTCAACATGTAAGAAGTAGAAAGTACAGGTATTTGAGTTCAACATGTAAGAAGTAGAAAGTACAGGTATTTGAGTTCAACATGTAAGAAGTAGAAAGTACAGGTATTTGAGTTCAACATGTAAGAAGTAGAAAGTACAGGTATTTATGTTCAACATGTAAGAAGTAGAAAGTACAGGTATTTGTGTTCAACATGTAAGAAGTTCTCTGCTGGAACTGCTACCCCCGCGACCCGACCACGGATAAGCGGGAGAAGATGGATGGATGGATGTAAGAAGTAGAAAGTACAGGTATTTATGTTCAACATGTAAGAAGTAGAAAGTACAGGTATTTATGTTCAACATGTAAGAAGTAGAAAGTACAGGTATTTGAGTTCAACATGTAAGAAGTAGAAAGTACAGGTATTTGAGTTCAACATGTAAGAAGTAGAAAGTACAGGTATTTGAGTTCAACATGTAAGAAGTAGAAAGTACAGGTATTTGAGTTCAACATGTAAGAAGTAGAAAGTACAGGTATTTGGGTTCAACATGTAAGAAGTAGAAAGTACAGGTATTTGAGTTCAACATGTGAGAAGTAGAAAGTACAGGTATTTGTGTTCAACATGTAAGAAGTAGAAAGTACAGGTATTTATGTTCAACATGTAAGAAGTAGAAAGTACAGGTATTTGAGTTCAACATGTAAGAAGTAGAAAGTACAGGTATTTGTGTTCACCATGTAAGAAGTAGAAAGTACAGGTATTTGAGTTCAACATGTGAGAAGTAGAAAGTACAGGTATTTGTGTTCACCATGTAAGAAGTAGAAAGTACAGGTATTTGGGTTCAACATGTAAGAAGTAGAAAGTACAGGTATTTGTGTTCAACATGTAAGAAGTAGAAAGTACAGGTATTTGAGTTCAACATGTAAGAAGTAGAAAGTACAGGTATTTGAGTTCAACATGTAAGAAGTAGAAAGTACAGGTATTTGGGTTCAACATGTAAGAAGTAGAAAGTACAGGTATTTATGTTCAACATGTAAGAAGTAGAAAGTACAGGTATTTGAGTTCAACATGTAAGAAGTAGAAAGTTCAGGTATTTGAGTTCAACATGTGAGAAGTAGAAAGTACAGGTATTTGAGTTCAACATGTAAGAAGTAGAAAGTACAGGTATTTGAGTTCAACATGTAAGAAGTAGAAAGTACAGGTATTTGAGTTCAACATGTGAGAAGTAGAAAGTACAGGTATTTGTGTTCAACATGTAAGAAGTAGAAAGTACAGGTATTTGTGTTCAACATGTGAGAAGTAGAAAGTACAGGTATTTGTGTTCAACATGTAAGAAGTAGAAAGTACAGGTATTTGTGTTCAACATGTAAGAAGTAGAAAGTACAGGTATTTGAGTTCAACATGTAAGAAGTAGAAAGTACAGGTATTTGGGTTCAACATGTAAGAAGTAGAAAGTACAGGTATTTGAGTTCAACATGTAAGAAGTAGAAAGTACAGGTATTTGGGTTCAACATGTAAGAAGTAGAAAGTACAGGTATTTGGGTTCAACATGTAAGAAGTAGAAAGTACAGGTATTTGGGTTCAACATGTAAGAAGTAGAAAGTACAGGTATTGAGTTCAACATGTAAGAAGTAGAAAGTACAGGTATTTGGGTTCAACATGTAAGAAGTAGAAAGTACAGGTATTTGGGTTCACATGTAAGAAGTAGAAAGTTCAGGTATTTGTGTTCAACATGTGAGAAGTAGAAAGTACAGGTATTTGTGTTTAACATGTAAGAAGTAGAAAGTACAGGTATTTGAGTTCAACATGTGAGAAGTAGAAAGTACAGGTATTTGAGTTCAACATGTAAGAAGTAGAAAGTACAGGTATTTGAGTTCAACATGTAAGAAGTAGAAAGTACAGGTATTTGAGTTCAACATGTAAGAAGTAGAAAGTACAGGTATTTGAGTTCAACATGTAAGAAGTAGAAAGTACAGGTATTTGAGTTCAACATGTGAGAAGTAGAAAGTACAGGTATTTGTGTTTAACATGTGAGAAGTAGAAAGTACAGGTATTTGAGTTCAACATGTAAGAAGTAGAAAGTACAGGTATTTGAGTTCAACATGTAAGAAGTAGAAAGTTCAGGTATTTGAGTTCAAAATGTAAGAAGTAGAAAGTACAGGTATTTGAGTTCAACATGTAAGAAGTAGAAAGTTCAGGTATTTGAGTTCAACATGTAAGAAGTAGAAAGTACAGGTATTTGAGTTCAACATGTAAGAAGTAGAAAGTACAGGTATTTGTGTTTAACATGTGAGAAGTAGAAAGTACAGGTATTAGTGTTCAACATGTAAGAAGTAGAAAGTACAGGTATTTGGGTTCAACATGTAAGAAGTAGAAAGTACAGGTATTTGTGTTCAACATGTGAGAAGTAGAAAGTACAGGTATTTGAGTTCAACATGTAAGAAGTAGAAAGTTCAGGTATTTGAGTTCAACATGTAAGAAGTAGAAAGTTCAGGTATTTGAGTTCAAAATGTAAGAAGTAGAAAGTACAGGTATTTGTGTTCAACATGTGAGAAGTAGAAAGTACAGGTATTTGAGTTCAACATGTAAGAAGTAGAAAGTACAGGTATTTGGGTTCAACATGTAAGAAGTAGAAAGTACAGGTATTTGTGTTCAACATGTGAGAAGTAGAAAGTACAGGTATTTGAGTTCAACATGTAAGAAGTAGAAAGTTCAGGTATTTGAGTTCAACATGTAAGAAGTAGAAAGTTCAGGTATTTGAGTTCAAAATGTAAGAAGTAGAAAGTACAGGTATTTGTGTTCAACATGTAAGAAGTAGAAAGTACAGGTATTTGAGTTCAACATGTAAGAAGTAGAAAGTACAGGTATTTGGGTTCAACATGTAAGAAGTAGAAAGTACAGGTATTTGTGTTCAACATGTGAGAAGTAGAAAGTACAGGTATTTGAGTTCAACATGTAAGAAGTAGAAAGTACAGGTATTTGGGTTCAACATGTAAGAAGTAGAAAGTACAGGTATTTGTGTTCAACATGTAAGAAGTAGAAAGTACAGGTATTTGAGTTCAACATGTAAGAAGTAGAAAGTACAGGTATTTGGGTTCAACATGTGAGAAGTAGAAAGTACAGGTATTTGGGTTCAACATGTGAGAAGTAGAAAGTTCAGGTATTTGAGTTCAACATGTAAGAAGTAGAAAGTACAGGTATTTGAGTTCAACATGTAAGAAGTAGAAAGTACAGGTATTTGAGTTCAACATGTAAGAAGTAGAAAGTACAGGTATTTGAGTTCAACATGTAAGAAGTAGAAAGTACAGGTATTTGAGTTCAACATGTAAGAAGTAGAAAGTACAGGTATTTGAGTTCAACATGTAAGAAGTAGAAAGTACAGGTATTTGGGTTCAACATGTAAGAAGTAGAAAGTACAGGTATTTATGTTCAACATGTAAGAAGTAGAAAGTACAGGTATTTGAGTTCAACATGTAAGAAGTAGAAAGTTCAGGTATTTGAGTTCAACATGTGAGAAGTAGAAAGTACAGGTATTTGAGTTCAACATGTAAGAAGTAGAAAGTACAGGTATTTGAGTTCAACATGTAAGAAGTAGAAAGTACAGGTATTTGAGTTCAACATGTGAGAAGTAGAAAGTACAGGTATTTGTGTTCAACATGTAAGAAGTAGAAAGTACAGGTATTTGGGTTCAACATGTAAGAAGTAGAAAGTACAGGTATTTGAGTTCAACATGTAAGAAGTAGAAAGTACAGGTATTTGGGTTCAACATGTAAGAAGTAGAAAGTACAGGTATTTGAGTTCAACATGTAAGAAGTAGAAAGTACAGGTATTTGGGTTCAACATGTAAGAAGTAGAAAGTACAGGTATTTGGGTTCAACATGTAAGAAGTAGAAAGTACAGGTATTTGGGTTCAACATGTAAGAAGTAGAAAGTACAGGTATTTGAGTTCAACATGTAAGAAGTAGAAAGTACAGGTATTTGGGTTCAACATGTAAGAAGTAGAAAGTACAGGTATTTGGGTTCAACATGTAAGAAGTAGAAAGTTCAGGTATTTGTGTTCAACATGTGAGAAGTAGAAAGTACAGGTATTTGTGTTTAACATGTAAGAAGTAGAAAGTACAGGTATTTGAGTTCAACATGTGAGAAGTAGAAAGTACAGGTATTTGAGTTCAACATGTAAGAAGTAGAAAGTACAGGTATTTGAGTTCAACATGTAAGAAGTAGAAAGTACAGGTATTTGAGTTCAACATGTAAGAAGTAGAAAGTACAGGTATTTGAGTTCAACATGTAAGAAGTAGAAAGTTCAGGTATTTGAGTTCAACATGTAAGAAGTAGAAAGTACAGGTATTTGAGTTCAACATGTGAGAAGTAGAAAGTACAGGTATTTGTGTTTAACATGTGAGAAGTAGAAAGTACAGGTATTTGAGTTCAACATGTAAGAAGTAGAAAGTACAGGTATTTGAGTTCAACATGTAAGAAGTAGAAAGTACAGGTATTTGAGTTCAACATGTAAGAAGTAGAAAGTACAGGTATTTGGGTTCAACATGTAAGAAGTAGAAAGTACAGGTATTTGTGTTCAACATGTGAGAAGTAGAAAGTACAGGTATTTGAGTTCAACATGTAAGAAGTAGAAAGTTCAGGTATTTGAGTTCAACATGTAAGAAGTAGAAAGTTCAGGTATTTGAGTTCAAAATGTAAGAAGTAGAAAGTACAGGTATTTGTGTTCAACATGTGAGAAGTAGAAAGTACAGGTATTTGGGTTCAACATGTAAGAAGTAGAAAGTACAGGTATTTGTGTTCAACATGTGAGAAGTAGAAAGTACAGGTATTTGAGTTCAACATGTAAGAAGTAGAAAGTACAGGTATTTGGGTTCAACATGTAAGAAGTAGAAAGTACAGGTATTTGTGTTCAACATGTAAGAAGTAGAAAGTACAGGTATTTGAGTTCAACATGTAAGAAGTAGAAAGTACAGGTATTTGGGTTCAACATGTGAGAAGTAGAAAGTACAGGTATTTGGGTTCAACATGTGAGAAGTAGAAAGTTCAGGTATTTGAGTTCAACATGTAAGAAGTAGAAAGTACAGGTATTTGAGTTCAACATGTAAGAAGTAGAAAGTACAGGTATTTGAGTTCAACATGTAAGAAGTAGAAAGTACAGGTATTTGAGTTCAACATGTAAGAAGTAGAAAGTACAGGTATTTGAGTTCAACATGTAAGAAGTAGAAAGTACAGGTATTTGAGTTCAACATGTAAGAAGTAGAAAGTACAGGTATTTGAGTTCAACATGTAAGAAGTAGAAAGTACAGGTATTTGTGTTCAACATGTGAGAAGTAGAAAGTACAGGTATTTGAGTTCAACATGTGAGAAGTAGAAAGTACAGGTATTTGTGTTCAACATGTAAGAAGTCAAAGTAAAAAGTTGTCAGAAACATAGGTAGTGGAGTAAAGTACTGATACCAGAAACATTTACTTAAGTACAGTAACGAAGTATTTGTACTCCACTACTTCCCACCTCTGCCAATCACAGTGGAGCTATCAGTGTTCAAGTCACTGATTGGTCCACTATAAGGACCAGAGGTAATTATTTGAAGATGCTAACTTGCTTTGAGAAACATAACTAAGGAACATTTAAAAGCATTCCTTTTGTACATTTGTCTTTAGTTTCTCAAAGACCGGAACCAATCACAGTGGAGCTATCAGTGCTCAAGTCACCATAAGGACCGCCTCCTCACCTGGATGCGCAGCAGCAGAGAGTGGTTGGTGTTCTCCAGCCTCCTCTGTCTCTCCTCCATCTCTCGGGCTCTGTGCTGCTCCTTCTGAAGTTTCCGGATGTAATCCACCGACGCCTTGAGGATGGTCCCCTTGTTCCACCTCGACTCCCTGATCAACCAATCACAGGCCTCGCCTCGTTAACACACGTAGCCAGAGATGGCAAAAGTACACATATCCTTTTCTCAAGTAGAAGTACAGATACTCGTGTTTAAAAATACTCTAAAGTAGAAGTGCTGACTAAACTTCTTTACTCAAGTCAAAGTAAAGAGGCTTTGAAGTGTACTTCAGTAAAAAGTACCCATAACTAGCAGCTGTTTTAAAGAGTACCTGACCTCCCTTTATATTAATAGACCAATAATGTCATTGTTAGCTAATGAATGTTTCCATGCTGAACAACGGCAACATGACAACGTTTCCATTGGTCCCTCTTCTTTAGAGAAGACCAGGAAATGATGGATACACGGATCGTGTTCAAATCAATAGGCACGCAATGACTCTAAAGAATAATGATCACGCATCAAACACACATTCAGACTAAAGGAACCAGCTGTTTGGAAAATGAGAGAAGTAGAAAGTTCAGGTATTTGAGTTCAACATGTGAGAAGTAGAAAGTACAGGTATTTGTGTTCAACATGTGAGAAGTAGAAAGTACAGGTATTTGTGTTCAACATGTAAGAAGTAGAAAGTACAGGTATTTGAGTTCAACATGTGAGAAGTAGAAAGTACAAGTATTTGAGTTCAACATGTAAGAAGTAGAAAGTACAGGTATTTGTGTTCAACATGTAAGAAGTAGAAAGTACAGGTATTTGAGTTCAACATGTAAGAAGTAGAAAGTTCAGGTATTTGAGTTCAACATGTGAGAAGTAGAAAGTACAAGTATTTGAGTTCAACATGTAAGAAGTAGAAAGTACAGGTATTTGTGTTCAACATGTAAGAAGTAGAAAGTACAAGTATTTGAGTTCAACATGTAAGAAGTAGAAAGTACAAGTATTTGAGTTCAACATGTAAGAAGTAGAAAGTACAGGTATTTGTGTTCAACATGTAAGAAGTAGAAAGTACAGGTATTAGAGTTCAACATGTAAGAAGTAGAAAGTACAGGTATTTGTGTTCAACATGTAAGAAGTAGAAAGTACAGGTATTTGAGTTCAACATGTAAACAGTCAAAAGTCGTCAGAAAAATAAGTAGTGGAGTAAAGTACTGATACCAGAAAGATGTACTTAAGTACAGTAACGAAGTATTTGTACTCCACTACTTCCCAGCTCTGCACGTGGCACTAACGAGCTTAACGAGGTGCATTCACTTTTCATTGTCCATGAAGACTTATACATAATACAAGTCATAAATCATAATAATGTTGTATTTTTTAACCATTATTAATTTTCACCCTGTTAATTATAATTCTGAAAGAAAAAGTACTTTTCTAGAGATCATAGCGTCATGATACAGTTATTAATATTGCCTGTCTTCGTTATTTCTGACATGAAATGTGACTTTTATTACGGTCGAAAGATACAATGTAGATGTGTGTTATCTGTTTGAAACATGAAAGGGTATGTAGTGTTGGTACTGACGGGTCGCTGGATTTAGGGATGAGACCCCCGAGTTCTTTGATCCGATCGTTGATGTTGAACCTCCTCCTCCTCTCGACTGAAACACACAGCACCAACAATATTATATTATTATTGTTACATGGTTTAAGCACTCTCTTTACTGCGCATCAGCCGCTGCTGTTCATTCAAGACTTTGTGTGAAATGTTGCAATAAAACCACAGAAACATTTTGAAATCACAGATAGTTAGAAAGAGTTATTTCACAACATTAACAGCAAAAATAAACGGAAAAAACGATGGAAAAGATAAATAATTAAGCATTTCTGATCTCCATGTTTTTGTTTCAAGAGACAAAAGGGGCAAACCATGTTTACATAAACCACATACAAGTAGGTAATTAGCAAAGTAATACCCAAAGTGTTGTATATTACATAGGGATGTAACGATATATCGAATATCGCGATAAATAAATGTCTCAATACTGTCGTGAGACATTTATTTTTATTTTTTTATATATATATATATTTTTTAAACCTTTATTTAACCAGATGGTCCCATTGAGATCATCGATCTCTTTTTCAAGGGAGACCTGTCCAACATGGCAGCAAGTAGGTTACAACATGAACATAAATCAACAGATAACAATAAAGGACATCGTATTTACAGGGCTACATGTACACACCTAGAGACATTGACAAGTACCAACAGTATATTTATATCTCGCCCTGTCAATAAGCCTCACCTTCTTGGCAAACACTGTATTGTTTTTGAAGTGGTGGAGAGACAATGCACAGTTTGACCCACTGCTGTCACCCATGGCCAAAGCATATCTCTCTGTCCCAGCAACATCTGTACCAAGCAAGAGAGTTGTTTCCACAGCAGGGGATTTTGTAAACGCCCAAACATCCCAGCTTCTACCTGGAAATGTGGACATGCTCATATTCCTAACAGATAACCTTGATGATGCTGAGTGAGTGAGTTAGAGTTGAGTTACTTGAACAACTAAAGTGAAACTTGATTTATTCTATTGCAGGGTCTGATTATTATATCGTTGACACTTTAAAATACTACTATCTACTAAAATGCTGTACAAATCAGATTTATTATTTAATAAAGAAAAAAATTCACATTTTTTTTCTTTATTTTTCAATATCGCGATAAATATCGTACCGTGGACTTTTTATCACGATATTATCGTACCGTGAGTTTTTGGTATCGTTACATCCCTAATATTACAGTACATTGTAGAGGCGATAATGTCACAAATGTGATGTTTAATGGCATGACTGTAATAAAACAGGACTAAAGGTACGGTAATGGGTCTGTGAAATAATAATTTGGTTTGTATTTACTTAAAACTAAGTATCTTTAGTTCACCTGCCTCAAACCTTTCTGCTAGATTGTACAACTCTGTGATATCTGCTGACATCTTGAGTAGCAACACAGTTATAAAGCAGTTATACGTGGAGAAATACTGCAGTATGAAATGTAATGTCCTCACTTTGGTTGTGGTTGTCTTTCTTCTGTCTCTCTTTGATGAAAGCTTTGGTCTCCACCTCTGCAACAAAAACAACAACAGAACAACTATTTACAAGATTTCCCTCGTGAGGAAAAACACAAACAGAAACGTTTGTAACAAAGTTTGAAAGATCGTCCTGCATATTTCTGTCATTAAGGAAGGTTTTCTCCAGTATTATGAGTCTTCTCCACCGTGGAAGAAGTAACCTGGTGTAAGCAATTTATACACAAAAGGACATTTTGAGTAAAGCATATTAACAGAATATGTTGTGTGTGATTCAACGAGCTGATGAATGAAGTTAACGGACATCTCGTTTTATTTTGAAAGACGGTTGAAGGTTTTCAGCTGAAACAGCAGTAAGTGTTTTTTAGTTCATGTTGACTGGACAGGAAGTAGGAACTGATGATGTGGGAAAATACAACGTGTGTGTGTGTGTGTGTGTGTGTGTGTGTGTGTGTGTGTGTGTGTGTGTGTGTGTGTGTGTGTGTGTGTGTGTGTGGGTGTGTGGGTCTGTTTGAAGGAAGTCTGCTGTTGACTCATCAAACCGGAGAAGAAGAACACATTTTCAGCAGAAAGACGGAGGGGGGGGGCTTAACTATCAGATCTCTGACCACACAGGAGCCAATCAGCAATCAGCTCTGCAGAGTTGGGGGATCTGAGGTGTGTGTGTGTGTGTGTGTGTGGCCTAGCATTACTATCCTTGTGGGGACCTACATCTGTTTACACAGTCACAGTCCTCCCTTATGGGGACAAAATGGAGGTCCCCATGAGGGGAATCATTACTTTTAGGGTGAAGACTTGGTTAGGTTAGGTTAGGTTAGGTTAGGTTAGGGGAAAGGGCAGTGCTCCGGAGGAGCGCTGCGTAGGGCACTGGCTCTCGGGATAATAATGTGGTTAAAAAAAACCTTTCTAAAAACTCCAAGGGAAATACATACAATGTTTCTAAAAGCCCTGTTAAAATTAATACAAATAATAACAATAAGAAGAAGTAAAATCAATTAAAAAAGCAAGAAGAGACCTGATACCAGGGGAGACAGAGCAGTGGTGCCTAGAGATCTCCTAACCTTCCGGGGACCCCTAAAGGATGTGACTGACGAGAACCTGTCCTAAGGGAAGTCTTAAAAGGGCCTAGCAATGGTGTAAAAACATTCGTGAGGGTAAGTGTAAGGGTTAGGCATGTGTTGGTTATGGTTAGGATAAGTCTCCAGGAAATGCATGTAAGTCAATGTAATGTCCCCTGAAGTAATGTATACATGGTATATGTGTGTGTGTGTGTGTGTGTGTGTGTGTGTGTGTGTGTGTGTGTGTGTGTGTGTGTGTGTGTGTGTGTGTGTGTGTGTGTGTGACCCACCGTTCACCTCCCTCTTGATGCCGTGCAGGTCGGCTGGGCAGCTGTTGCTAACGGTGATGGTGGGCGTGGCCATGCCTCCGTACAGGTCCAGCATGTTCCCCGACACCGGCAGCTGAAACGGACCAATCAGAGCACAGAATGAGCGGCTGTCAGGGAGAGTGACCAATCAGAGGCTGAGAACAGTTTAAGCATTTCAGAGCATCCCGCGCTGTGATTGGCTGCAGCTCTTCTTCCTCGCTCTCTGCTACTGATACACACTGCATCCCAGGATCATACACACACAGACACACACACGACCTTCAGTGTATCTCGCAAAATAACGATAAAAATGATAATAATATTATTTCATTTTTGATGTTGCTATGATAAATATTTCATTATAATTGTTGTGGTTTACCTTTATGAAATCATAAGTTCGATAAATCTTTATGGTGAGACACTACAGGCCAAAAACGAAACGGGTCATGTATGAATTGTTGGGCGATTTGCTTTGATAACATCGTCTTAATCAAAAAATGCAAATTTAGATGTTGAATTAACTAACTCTATTTATGTCTGTAGATTTCTTCTAATTATAGCTAAACAAAGCATTAGATGATGAGTCTTTGTGCAAGTTATGATGTGGGGAATTTGCATGGTGATATCTATTAGTACCATTTATTTGTTGTACTATACTTCCCTGTAGTGTCTTGCAAAATGTAAGCATGCTTTACACATCATTCACATCTTCAAAGACCGTTCTCTGGAAATGAGTTTAGTCCCGATTACGACTCTTTAAGACTGTATTTTCATCTGAGCAACTTTACGTCTACGTTGTGCACTTTTATCCTTATTTTAAGGATTAAATATCACAGTCATTATAATATGTATTGGTGTTGGCACTGTGAGCTCTGTTCAATGCATGAGCTCTGTTTAAATAATAAATATAATGTTGTTTAGGCATTTAGTCCTCTTCCTCCAGAGCAGCTGAGGAATCTGCTGATCGGACAGAA